TCGTCTGGTTCGGAAAAAGGCCATTCTCGTCCCAATGATGCACGGCGCCTTCGATCAAGATGAACGGCTCGCTGGCCGTGGATGTGCGGTTCGGTGCCGCGAACGCGTGCGGTGTTGCCTGGCGCCAGGGATCGGCCTGGCCGTCGATGATGGCGAGGCGGGGGTACGAGATGTTGTAGCCGCCGTGCTTGTTGATGGCTTCGACGTCTGGAGGGGTCGTGATGTTGAAGGCGTCACGGCAGATGATGCTGTTCCATTCGAGGTTCAGGGTGCGGGATACGAGCGGGAGTTGGTTGGCTGGGACGCCGGAGCCTGTTTGGAGGAAGCCCCATCTTTGGTGAGTGCGTTAGTGGTTAGCCGACTGTCACGCCTGGAGAAGAGAGGGAGATGGCTTACTGCGTGCAATACTGGTACGGCCACGAGCGCCAGGTCTGCGACAGATCATCCTGCTCGTAGAATGTCGTGTTGTGGGTGCTCAAGCACTCGTCCTGCGTCACACCTATGCAGTCGGAGACTTCGGTAAGGTTGATATAACCGATGTAGTTCAGCATGCGGTTGGTCAAATTGCTGGCTTGGGCGCCGTATCCGCCGACAGTCAGCAGTTCTTGGACCGTCGACTTCAGACTCGTCGTGTCGGGGTAGAGAATGGCATCGGACGTGATGTTGTCGCAGAACTGGAAGAACGTATCGTCGCCGACGGCCGGGTCCCAATTGCGACTCTGCCAGTACGCCATACCCTGCCCGAGGGCGCTCGCGAAATCGTCGTTATACGTCAGATTCCCGAGACCAAACGCGTCCTTCAACTGCTGGGGATAAGTCGAGTTCGCCTTTCCGATCAGGATGTTGTCGAGAACATTCGTCAGCTTCTGCGTCGTGCTGATGCAATCCGGGGGTCCGTAAATCCTCTGCGCCTCGTAGTACTCCCAGTAATCATATACCGCCTCGGTAACACCAGACGAGGAAATGGCTCCAAAATACACATCCGGATACAACTTCCTCAAGAAAGCCACAAACGCACCGGCATACGAGCCTCCGTACGCGATATACGGCGTCGACGGCGCAGTCAGCGTCATATTCTCCCGGCCTTCGAAGACCACGTTCTTGGCAAAATACACCTGATCAGCGAGCGCCTGGTCCGTGGTCAAGAAACGCAGATTCTCGGTCGACAGATCCGGCGTCGGCCAGCTCTCGCCGTAGTACCGGTGCTCGAGCACGACGCCGATGCCGTTTGTCGCCTGCGCCATCTCATGCAGGATTCCCTTTTGAAGATACGGCAGGCGGTCTGTTGCGTCCGTCTCGCCGCTCTGGAGCACGATGACGGGGCCCCCGGCTTTGTAGTATGTGGCGTCGAACCAGTAGCGTAGGGGGAATGTGCCGTTGCTGTGGGGCTCGTAGGCGGTTTCATTGTGGAAGTGGTCGATGGGGACGGAGATGTTGTGGGTTGGGTAGAGTAATGAGGGGTCGATGTCCCGGCGGTGGAGTCGTTCTGGGCTCCGGATCTGTCATGTCGAGGTCAGTCTGGTGGTCGTGAAAGGCGCATGAGGTACGCACCTGCTTTCGCAGCTCTCTGATCGGCTGCGTTGTTCGAAGAGCTTCGACGGCATGAAGCGCGGCCGCCCACAGGACAACAAATTTAAAAACGGCCATCATGGTGGGTTTTGGTCGTCCTGGCGAGCTACAACGGTTTTCAACGAGGTCGCAGGAAAATTCCAAGCCGTTTTATGAAGGCTCAAGGCAGTCTTCGACCACGGTTCCAGTCACCCGTCAACCACACCAGGCGAATCGTGAGGCCGGTTAATATTATTCGTGCGCGAGATTTGACCACAGCTGAGTAGGGAATTTTGACCAGGGCCCAAGCCAGTCCACGAGCACCAAAGGCGAGCTTGAACGGTTCGTGAGCGGAGGTTGTAGCTGTAGACGATGGCCGGGGCGCCTTGAAGCGAACAAAGCGGGCGGCCGAGGCATTTTGAGGGACTAGGACTCCAAGTACAGCCGTGGATCGGCCTGATGTAGCAAGTCCCCTCGGTCGCTGCTGTGCTGGAGCTACGGCCAGCTTCGGGCGAGCGGTTGGTGAGTTGGTGATCGGTTGGCGTATCACGCTGGATTGTCGAGCTGCCTGATGCGGGTTAGTGGCTGTCGGCAAAGACGAGGCTCCCCGCTGCAACGAGGATCTATCCCTGATCCAGCAATCGAGGTCGTGAGCCCGGATTTTGTTCCTGCCGATCCGATTCACTGATGTCGAGCACTGGCAGATGGAGCCTCCCTGATGATGACAGCTAAACTCTTTCACAGACACTCGCTATATGGCTGGCTAGTTGAAGGTTTAAGAACAAGCTTATCGTTAACGTTAATCGAAGCTGTTGTTGACGCGACTCATCACCCCCCTCACCGACTAATACACATAAGTCAACGTACATACCGACATATTGCCAGGAAAGCCCCGCCAAAATGTGGTGAAACACTCGGCTTCAATCACGCACAACAGGATGGACCTGGATTTTCAACTCTGGCTTTATTAAACCAGGCTACAAAAGCGTCTATGTCGGCCATCATGTCTGCCAGTCAACAGCGGATGGAACAACTCACTCAAGAAAGCCCTCATATGCTCGGATCCGTTTTCCGGACTTCACATCCAAGCCTCATCAGCGCTGGCGAGGCCAAAGTTCCACGGAATGCGGCCCAGTACGACGCGCATCTCGAGATACGCAAGGCTTTTTGCAGTGTTAGCTCTGTGTTCCTCGGCACGGATGCGTGAGATGCTTACTGTTTGCCTATGCGCCCACGTGGCCCGAGAGAGAAGGGTCGACTGGCTGTCTTGGTATCAGATGCATATGCCTCGTCGAGCCAGCGTTCTGCTATGAAGGCTTCCGGGTCCCGGAATTTAGAAGGACTGTGACCAGCTGCGTATGAGGTGACGGCCACGGAAGTCTACTGCACTGTCAGCTCGAATCCAGGTCTACGGTTATTGTTCGCGACTTGCCACCTCGGGTACGAAAGTCCCATCAATCATCTCTCCGCCCTTTGGCACCGTTAGGAGAAGGCGATCGGAATTGGTGGGCGCAGACGTAGAGACTCTTCGATACACGCATTCAGGTAAGGCAAAGCCAGGAACTTCTGATTCGTCCATTCTTCTGTCTTGGTGTTCTCCCGCGCCTCCTTTACCACCTTCTGCATTCTCTTGGGATCTCTGAACAGATGCGCGGCCATGGCAGAGAGCGCGCTGGCGGTTGTTTCGCAGCCAGCTATGATCATCAAGGCGTCATTCACGACCATCTCGTCCTCGTGGAGGAGGCGTCAGTCTTCATGGCGCATGGCGTAATAGAAGAAGTCTCTGTGCCCGATTTCGTCGTTTGCGATTCGTCGGCGGTCTTTCTCCTGGCTGGACAGCAGATTCCTCTTTCTCCTCACCCGAATCTTGTTCGGAATAGACTTGATCAAGAACTTATTCAGTAGCTTCCCGGCAGCGGCAAACCGGCGTGAAGCATGCTCAAAAGCAGCAGCCCGTCATCAAAACCAGTAACAACTTCAGCTAGCGATTACATCTCCAAACTCACCCTAATCATCTCAAAAACCATTCCTCACCCACTCATGAAACCTCCCCTCCTCCAAACATCCAACCGGCTGCCCAAACGCCAAATCCCCCAATCGCATCAAACGTCAAATAGTTCCATGATCAAGTCGATTTTGGCCTCTTGGTCGCCGGCTAGGTTTAAATGTTGTGTATGTCTTCCAATCTGGCGGACCAGGGTCTATCGTCATCCCATCAAGCCTCTCCAATAAAACAGTCATTGGCCATTTCCCACTTTCTCTCAATTAACACGAGATCACCGCCGATGTGGTGCATCAAAACCCTGAATACCCAGAAGTCGTGACATCCGAACCTGCAGCAACAGCAGTTCGACCACCCACATCACCCGAATGAAGCATAAACCGACCGACCTCCGGCCGATGTTGGGACCCGACATCATCTTCGACCTCCCTTGACGCGGTAGTTGAAGCCCTTCCAAACCACCCCCGAACTCGTTGGAAGCCACGTCAACTTTCCACTCTGAAGCTTCCACCGCGTTCAAAGTTGACGCTGGGACCACTTCCTATCTGGGCGTGTAGCTGACGTGCTTCTGAACGTGCTCGGAATGCCTTGCAAGTTAGGCAACTTTCCGCAGTGAGTCGTCAACTGCGTTTGAAGTGGCTGATTGAGCGCGTGGTTGTAGTGCTCTTGGACCGGTTCTGGATGCGCCGGAACAATCAGATGTTCTGGTCACGCGCACCGGGACTTTCCCCGGCTTCACCCACGCCCTTTCCACTCTCACGACGTAGGAGCTGTCTTTTTTGTGGCGTTTGCATGGTGCCGATGCCGCGAATAGGTCGGTCGGAGGGAAGGGCGAAAGATGGACGACGTCGGGTATATGCGCACGTACCTTGTGGGGGACGACGGAAGATGGATGCACTTGCAGCAGAAGTAGCAACAGCAGGGGCTTTGTTCCTTTCATAGGGTGACCGCGGGAAAATATCAGTAGATGAACGTGGTGGTGCGGCTATCCGGTCGACTCGAATGAATGTGAAATGGCTGGCCTGGCTTTGCGTAGATGGGATCTGGGCCCTTGAGCGTGAGGTTTGACGAGGGGTTCTTGAGGTGGTCATTGGAGTCCACGAGTGACGCTCTGTAGGATACAAAGCAGCGACTGAAGTTGCCGTTTCTGGAGTCCGAAAGCGTGGCGATTGAATCATGCGAGAGCCCATGTCGTCAATCATGTCCATCACCCCGTCCGTCTCCCCCTCTTCTCCCATCCGACCAACTTCACCCCCTCCAACCCGACCCAACTGCCCCACAAACTCCGCGAACGCAACTACTCCAACTATCATCCTCCTCTTCCCTCCCCATCCCACATCACCCTCCCCCCCTCTCGGACACTTTCTCGGCCCCACCCCGGCCTCTCCCGTCTAGCCCTCTATAAGCCCCACCGCCCAAACTTTTTTCATCAATCACGCAGCAAGAAAAAGGTGATGTAGTGTAATGGTATCACAACACGTTGTGGATTCGAGCCCTCGCCGGCTTCGATCAAGCAACGCCGTGTTAATCTGAGTTCGATTCTCAGCATCGCCACTTGTGAAATCTGCGAATTCGTTGATTCAGCGTGAGAGCTGATTCGGGTTTGTCTTTTTGGTATTTTTCCGGGGGGGGGGGGTTTCTTTTCGCGCCGAGTTTGGAACGACTTTTTGGGGTGACGGGTTCATTCGTGGTGGTGTTGAATGCTCTGTGGTGTCGTTTTTGCGGGTGCAAATATGGCCTGGAGAATGGTGGGGAACGAGATGTTCTAGCTACGGTTGGTCAGTGCGGGCTGTCGATGTCACTGGATGAGGGGCTCAGTTTTGCCGTTTCTGATGTTCTGGTCTCTTGCCGTTGGGAACTCGTTGGCTGGGTGGTCGGGCACTGGACTGGTGACGGGTCGCGGTCGCATGTTGGCTGCCTTGCGATTGGACCAAAGGTCGGGAGATGATTTCGTCCTCGAGAAATGTTACGGTATCTCGGTGTTGATTGACCGTGATCGCGGCTGTGGTGCGGATTGTGAAGGAACGGGGGATTTTTTTCGCGCCATTGTCCCGTAATGCTGTGGATTGGTGTTGATGAGGGAATCCAATTATGGAAACACATTGTCTGTGCTCCAGGCGTTTTGTGAATTTCGAAAATGAACATGCGCGGGGATGAGGCGAAATGCAGAAATAATTTCCTTTTTTTCGTGGCTGTTATGTGGACTCACTTGTCAAAAAAGGATCACTGCGTAGGTGGCACTGATGCTCAGACGTCGAGGCTGGGTCAGGGTTGGAAAGGGAACGAAAAGACAGTTCACGAAAGGAATCATATTCTTCAATTTGTTTTCTCAGGGCTCATGATCCCAAGCATGGTTATTAGTATTCTTTACCGGGTGCTATGGCATACGTAGAGATGAAAAATCCAAACATCATCTGGTCCTTGATGTTCTCCTTTCAGTGGGCGTGAATATCGACTCGTATCGTACATGACTTTACAAGATCAGATTTTCTACGCGGGCGGGACTGCGGCAGGAGCCTCGGTACCGGAACCGGTAGCGGCACGGTTCGGCGGGGGAGGCAGGAAGAGTGGCATGTATGCCTTGAATGTCATTAGTACGAATGAGATAGCGCTTTCGATTTCGCTGTTACTTACCACTGCGAGAGCCATTACTGTGTACCTGTTAGCTTGGGTGTTGTGGACTTGATGAGGGAGATTACTCACAGGACATGCCGACGGAGAAGTAGCCTGGGGTGGTGGAGGTCTTCTTCTGCTCCGGCGTCTCAGCCAGCCATGCCTGGAGAGCGAAGACGACAGCGGTCCTGGATGGTTTGATGAGCAATGTGGACACGTGAGCGGTAGGATGGGTCGAGCTCACCATCCGATCAGCCTGAAAAAGGCATCTTGTTAGCAAATCATCTGCGTTCAACAGCGGTTGGACAATGGAAGGCGAAAAAAGCAATGGCAGGATACGTGCTACAGCGGTGCCGCGAAGAGCGGTGGCCGACCCAAGCCGTGGCCGTTGCCGCGTTTTAGATTGAGAAATGAAGATGAGCTCACTTGTTCCGGGTGAATATCTATCACATCACGTCAGTCTGGATGCGACGAGTAAGTTGGTTGGGGCTGTCTCGACTCACGGCAGCCATGGGCAGGGTGCTGGCCATTGTGCCTGATAGGCGTATCAGCAACGTCGTCGGCATCCATCAGCGACACAGAGGGGCAGGCAGCATACTGGAGATGTCGCCATCCGACTTGGCCTTTTCGGGCTCCACGAAGGGAATGACTGCAGGCTGTGGATTAGCACGTGACGGGGGCGATGCGGGTCTTGACTTACTGAGGTCGGCCCTGCGCATATCCTTCTTGGACGCCATGATGAGAGATGAGGAGAGAGGATGGGAGACGATGGGAGACGAAGGGAGACGAAGAGAGAGCGATGGTGGTGATGGCGAGGTTCTTGTGGTGGTGGTGGTGGTGGTAGTGGTGGTGGTGGTCCTTCGCGACGGTGGACGAGAAGCGGATGCGATGCGATGCGATGCAGGCAGGCCAGGGCGGCGCTCAGGGTCCGACAGCCGAATCTGGAGTGGAGACGGCCAGAGATTGTTTGCTGGGGAGCCCGAGATGATGCGACTGGCGGTCAAAGATCACGAATATATTGCAAAGTGAAGTGTTGAAGACAGTACTACATGGTTACTGTACCATGCATGTGTGTGTGTGTGTGTACTTTTGGCGGGTGGAGACCTGGAACTGGCACCGCTGCCACCCGCCGCCCGCCGCCTTGTCTTGTGTCTCGCCCAGCGCATTCCCTCCTCTCTACTAGTCTTGCCTCTCAACCGCCAGTCATTGCTCCCTTCCGCTCCACTCGGCACGGGAGGCGCAACTCGGCCGGCTCCCTCAAAGCAACCTCATACCCGGCATTCCACCCAGTCCCCACGCCTGATCTGCTGTCATATGTCCACCTGAAGACCACCTGAAGTCCACCTGAAGGCACCTCCAACCACCCCAAGGCTCCCTCCACCCTTTGCGCCACCACACTCCCCGTCGGTACTGCTGCTCTCGTGCCCCCTCTCCAACAGCTGCCCTCTCTAACCCTAGACCCAGATGTGCGACCAGACCACCTCAGCTCGCTACGTCCCCCAACCTCCGTCCACCACATCGTCCGTAGCCATGGCCCCATTCATCTGATCGCGCATGGATCCTCGGTGCGATGACTTCTCGCCCGGCTCCGTCACTACAACAGCGCGTCGCGACCGGAGGTAATAGCCTGCAGCGACCGCCGATTCAGGCGCGCCCACCAGTCCTCCAGTCCACCGCGACCGGCACCGCGCGGCCCACGGATCCCGTCATCGACCTGACATCCGAAGATTCCAAGGTTGCAAGAGATATCTCGCAGAAAGCTCGCTCGTTGAAGCAGGCGGCCGGTGCCGAGGATAACAGGTTGCCGGCACTTGACACACAGGGTGCTGCGCAAGATGGCTCCTCACGACTGTCCGCTCGAGGCAAACCTCAGGTCCAGTTCGAGGCTGCAACGACGCCCGGTTCCATGTCTGAGGCTACGAAACCCCCGCCTGCCTCCGCGCCGGGCCAACGTCTGCTCGTTGCATCGACCGCGCCATTGCCCATGCCACCAAGACCGAGATTCCACAAGCAGAGTGCTTCGTCCAAGTCGGACGAGGCTGCGGCAGAAGAAGGAGGGGCAACGGCCAAGCAGACTATAATGCGACCCGGTGGTCAGCTGGAAGCGCCACCCGAAGCCGTCCGGCTGCCAAACAGGAGAACGGTGGACTTCTTCCCATGGAATGGAAATCATCCCGAGGACGTTCTCACATCCGAGAATGTCAAACTGGGTTTCGTCGACGATCGCAGGTCAAATCCCCAGGACCCGCCCTCGGCAAGGCAATCCGTGGGACCACACATGCGGAACAAGTCTGCGCTCGCTACGCTGTCGAGTCTGTTCACTCAAGTGCTGGAAAAGAGGCAGCAGTCTGGACGTCTCACCGCCCCGTCGACCTTCAAACCCCCGCCGAGAGTTACAATCACGGATACAAAACGCGAAGAATGGCTGAGGGATTTGGCGGATCCTACGATACCTCTGCGTCGCCTGAACAAGAGGATACCGCATGGCATCCGAGGGAAGCTGCTTCTCGAGCAATGTCTCGGGAAAAAAATCCCACCTCCACGCGCTGTATGGCTTGCGAAATGTGTTGGGACCAACGAGATGCGGGCTTTCAAGAGAAAAGGAGCTGGCAGCACGACGGGTCCTAGTGCTGAACACAAGTGGATCCGTGAGTGGACCATCTTCGTGGAGCAGTTTGTGGAAGGCACCATCGGACAGTGCGGCCAAGTCGACTGGAAGTCCAAGATGGACTATGTTATACGCCTCTCCTCGCATCTTTACTCGGAACGACTATTGGATCAAGACCACTATCTAGACTGGCTGCTAACCTCGCTGGAGACCAGCGATATGGATAGATTGCCGGTCCTCCTTGTTCTCGTGCAGATCTACTGGCAGGAACTCGTTTCTATCAGAAAGAGAGGGCGACGTCTATCAGAAGCGCTGCTAGCGCATCTTGACGCTGTGAGTAATACGACTCCACACCTTACCTATGTTTCACTGATTCTGTTAGATTACGACCGCCGCCACTGCCGAGTCAGGGTTCCCGCCACTTATCCAGATGCGCAAACTTGTTACGAGTCTCATTGTCAGGCATAGAAGCTGCATGATTGCGTTGCGTACTTGGAAAAAGTTTCGCCACATCATTGATCATCTCTACTCTGAAAGCGACGATCCTATACTCGACTCCGCCATCGAGAACATAACACGAAGAAATGAGCGCCTTGTTTCCTGGTCCGAAGATGGTGCAAAAGCAGGTCAATCATCCCGGAAGGATGTCCTCTCAGCTCTGGATTCCGTCAATCTGGATCTCAACGTTGAAAAGCTGTCTTCCAAATGCTCGTCAGCCATCCCGAATTCGCACGATTTGGTACTCACTGTATTACAATGGGCATGTTCATTATACCGAGAAGGACATCATCGCTTGTACATCACGACACGGCTGCTTAGGAAATGGAAGAATAAGGGGATGGACATCGACAGTCCTATCCTGGCTATTCTCACCGACTCGCAGCGCCTGAAGGGAATCCGGCAACGAGACCTCTTTCGAGTGGTCGCAGAGCTTGTGCGCTCAAAACACTTCTCCGTGGGAAGGTACCTCCAGTGGTTGATTGCCAGTGGAAGTCTCTCCTACGGAAGTAGTACTAAGGTAAGGAGATCATGTTGGTGCTGAGGATCAATGGATTAACAATCACCAGAGCGACGCCTGCCACCTTCGTCTCATTGCCGAAATTCCCCTTTACGGACTTCCGGAACACGTACTAAATCTACGCCAGACGCTCCTGAGCGGAGCGATGCAGAATAATCATCCTGGGGCTGCTGCCCTCTTGGACGATCAAAGCAGTGTTCTGGAAGAGATAAGGCAGCTGTTTGAATCGCCTTCTCGCGCTGAGATTGTGTCGTCCGCTGCAGTCCCTCTGACCACGAATACCAGGCTCGAGATTAGTCGATGGATCCGGCAGGA